TGCTTCGCTTAAATAAGCCCATACTGAAATAAATAAAGTGCTACCTGCCTTCAAACGGAGAAGCTCGGGAGCTTTCAATACCTTCTTTGTTACACGAGCATTTGGCTGACTGAATAGATCCGCTCGCGTCTCCCTCAATCCTCCCATTCGTCAGCTTTTTGAAATGTTTGAATCCTGTCCGGTCTAGTCAAAGAGGTTTGTTTACAAAGGCTCCTTCTCTGTCAGCCTTGCGAATACGACCGATCGGGCTGGGAGACGGCAGACTGGTGGTTCATAATCTGCATTAGTCATACATCCTACCAACTTTCATCACGTTTTCGTTGCGCCTGTAACAAGCGTTTCCACCAAGCCATTTATGGCCGATGTACGTCTGCAAATGTGCAATTAAGTAGCTATACCCTATATCTTATGGTAGTAGGTTTACGTGCCTTTTCTTAACTCTTGCCCCGGTCCGCCGTTTTTCAAAGCTTTAAATTGATGGGGAGGAAGGGGAGAGGGATGAATTCCACCCTGCTGCCTCTTCCGATCTAAGACAGGGAGAGCCTGGCGGTACAGGATTGGCTTCAATGGTATTGTGCGATGGAAATAAATTGGATATCGATATGTCCTTTATCGGCTTCAGTATGGTCCGTCAAGGGCCGGTTGTTACGAAAAAAAATCTGTCGGATCTGTCGATATGTCGGTGGACGCCTATCGTGCAAATTCGTGACCAGGTCTGGCTCGGCAGAAAGGTTGTAATACATATTTTTGTACTTTAATTTAATTTTTTGTTTCGGCCGCTTCAGTTTACGCTAGATCAATGTCATGCGCTCCTGGCGACGACAGTATTTGGCACTATGTTTGACTACTTTCGGAATTCGTTTACACTGTGTTGCACTGCAACCAGCTCAGACAGCTGCGCATGAAAGATAAATGAGAAACCCTGACTCAAGTCACAGTGAATAAAAACCACCGCACGCAAATTTGGTTTGAAAATGCCAGGTGCAAATGTCACACAATTTTCCTGACGGTGATGTGACGCCCTGCATCACGTTACCTTCCAAACGGAGCCTAACGTTGCAGGCAATCGGTGTTGTGGTGCGATCGTATCCACTGGAGACATATTTAGAATTTCGCGATGTTGTCACAACATTCGTTATACAGTCGACGGGTGAGACCGTTGGCGTTCTAAAAGTAATTCTGAACAAAAAGTGCGTTGCAAAATTTATTTAGGCCTTGTTCTACATCCCATGTGTAGAATACTTCCTCCAGACAGCACAGGAAATGATCATGTCGTCAAATAACAACAGTTGCGGTCTTATTGATTTAACAAATGAGGACAACGTGTCGTCGCCATGTCTGGGCTTTATACTGACCAATGTCTGGGCTTTATATACACAAGACCAGCAGCAAGGCTCAAGAACAGGAGGCATAACCGTCCGGCCAAATTTCGCTGCCCTCGGCTGATGACGTCACAAGTGTACTCGGCACGCAATGGTCAACGGTCTTGCCGATTTAACAAATAAGAGAAGCACGTCACCGCCAAGTCTGGGCTTTATGACAGCAGCAGGTCTCAAGAACAGGAGGCATAACCGTTCGGCCAAATTCCGCTGCCCTCGGCTGATGACGTCACAAGTGTACTCGGCACGTAGTGGTCAACGGTCGATGCATGCCTAACGCAGTTTGGTTAGCTTTTTAAAACGGCTTTAAGACTACAAGCATTTAAATATTTTTGGCTGGAACACAAAAAGACTGGTTCTTCTCTGAACAGGTCATAATGCCAGCCCCTAAGTGGACTGTTCATTAATTGACTGGCATCCTAGCCGAGCGCATTGGGCTGGAAGGTCGGATGACAAAAGGAAGCTTTCTCAGGAACTAATTGCCTGCTTTGGAAATATTTGCGAAAAGAGAAAGGGCTGGTGGGTGCAGCTTTAAAGAAACAAAAAAAAAACGAGAAGTATTGACAGGAAAGGCCAATGTCGGGTCAAATTCCTGCAGACTTTTTGAAACTTACCTCTTACAGCGGTTGGGCCTATCGAATTGTAAAAGTGCATGGCTTCTGGCAAAGTGAGGAACCTGTCTTACGAACATGCTGTCATAATGGGGGGTCAGATCAAGGTTCTGCCATGGTCCAGCGCGATTATTTAGTTTATTCATGCGACCTGTGCCTCAAAATATTTTTACATCTATTTTGCTCGCATGATGCACCTGAAACGTCAGCTACAGTTTTATTAGTCAGTACATAAGCCAAGATGGGGGTGGGATGTCGCGCATAAAATATGAATAGGAAAACTTCAGCTCGCGCGAGTCTTTTTTCTGGCAGCCGATGCGACAATTTTGGCAAGCCAGATAATGTGTGGCAACAATGTTTAACTTTGACAGAAACATGCCGTTCAAAAGTAAGAATCTTGTCCACAGCGAATCACATAAGTTTTGCAAAAGCGGATAGGCGTAATCATACGGCAACAGAACGTACTTCGAAATTTTGGGCTAGCAGTCTGTCGCGAAGATATAAGAACAAAATTAGTTTTTGTAGGGTAAATCTTTACGGTGCCTTGTGCAAGTTATCACCGCGCTTTGCTCACCGTTATGTCGGTTTGCTGCTGCATTGTTGACTGGAGGGACCACAGTGGGCAAACAACGTTATGTCATTTGCAAAGAGTAAGAAGAGTGCAGGTCCTAAAATTGAGCCTTGATTCACACTGTGAGTGAGCGGGACGCAGTGGACCTATATGACCGGCGGGGGCTCCGAAGGCCATTACTCAGTCAGTACCTGAACTAATGTCCGCCCACTCCATGCCAGTACCTGAACCAATGTCCGCCCATTATATACCAGTACCTGAACCAATGTCCGCCCACTACATACCAGTACCTGAACCAATGTCCGCCCACTCCATACCAGTCCCTGAACCAATGCCCGTCTATGCCATACCAGTGCCTGAACCAATGTCCGCCCACTCAATACCAGTCCCTGAACCAATGTCCGTCTATGCCATACCAGTACCTGAACCAAGGTCCGTCTATGCCACGCCAGCCCAGCTTGTCCCATCGTTGTCCATGCTAGACGCTGTCAAAGGCCTTGGATGTGCCAACTGTCGTGACCAGACGGCGGTCCATCCCGTTTGTGAAGTAAGTGACCGCGTCCATCCCCATCTGCTCCGTGGATCGCCCTGGCCGAAGCCCAGGCTAGGTCACATGGGATCCCGTGAGACACCAAGTACTGCATCACTTGGGCACACGCCACCATCTCAGCAGGCTTCGTCGCGTATCGTCACGAGCCATGATTAAGAGCGTCGATCTCGCACCCGGATTTCCAGGGCCGCTTCCATCTCCGGATATGAGGATGGGTACCACAGTTGCGAGTTTCCATTCACACAGGAGTATGCCAGACGTAATGACGGAATCTGAATGGGAAAATAAAGGCGTTAATCACATTGAGCAAGCGAGGGGTAATCACCGGGAGCATTATTCGCAACAAACCGATGGCGGTCCCGTCACTTCCGCACGTCTGCGACGACACGCGTTTCGATGCTGCATGACTGAAACCCGTCCTAACCTGTCACCACAGGGCTGATAGCGTCAAAGTTGGGCGGCCATCTCCCATAGGCCATTGCCTTCTGCGCCAAGATACGAGATGACATTAATTAAAGGAACTGAGGTAATCAAGAGCGCTTTCAGTGTTTTTTTTTCGAACGAGGCAAATCTTGCTATTCCAAAAGTAGGCCTCTGACCTAAACAAAATAGCACCATGAATCTTGTCACATTCGCACATCTCGGTTAGCTTTCAGCCCATTATTTCTATAGCCTGAATCACTCCTAAACAGACATCTTGCAATCTATGAAAGGAACGCCTAACAACGCTGAACGTGGGATACAGACCAGACTTGCCGCAGCTGTCAGCACGTTGAGCCAATCCGTCCCAAAAGCTCAGTTGATTAGAGCGATGCCTTTCAATTAACACAGCCATGGCGAGGGTGGTCTCTGGCTGCTTAAGGCGCTCGCCGTTTGCCGCTGACGGGTAGCGCCTGCGGCAGGTGGCAGCGGCCACGTTGGACGTCAGGTGACGTCAGAGGCCAGTGCGGACCGAGCTGAGCAGTATGGCGCACTAAGCTTTCGCTGTAAAATCCTGTCGTTCACCCGAGATTTAACGATCGGATGGTGGGGTCAGTGTTCATCAACAGGCACTGTTTAGCGTGAACGCTGACCCCAGAAATCCATTCAATCGCAAGGGTTGGACCAAATCTTTGAAAAATAATCTCGCCCTCGTTTAGGCAGAAGTAAAGTCACCTTTCTGATAAACCGCCACTCCGTATTCGAAAGTCCGATGAGCAAGCCGGCCCGTCTCCGATCCCAATCCCCGTCCCACGGCGGTACGAGCACCTGTCATCACTGTCGCTCCAGTGTCGCGCCGCCTCGCGCCATTCACACCGTTGTGCGGTCTGGAGCCGGCCAAGGTCAGAGACGTTCGGGCCCGTGACGTCACAACCGCGCCGTGCGGCCACTTAGCCGTGCGTGTTAGCTCGTAAAGGTAACGAACGGCGTTACCGACCGCGTGGCTGATCTAGCTGGCGGACGACCTTTCGACGAGGAGCTCCGGAAGCGAGGCGCGCGGGAACGCGTGCTGCGCCCCACCTCAGATCAGAGACTTCGAATGGATTACTGCGCAGACATAAAGTGACGATGCAAGGAACCGCTCCGATTAAAAAGCTTCTGAGCACGCATACAGCAGGAGCAGAGAGGTGATTCAAAAAGCATTGTTCCAACTATAAGCCGGACTATTGCAAAAATGGGCATTTCTGCCATCCCGTGTTTACCAGCAGCACCGTAAAGCAATGGTACTTGACATTATCCTTATGCTGGTGCCGGTTTAGGTGTGTTTGGATTCCCAATGCCGTCATAAACAGGCCCTTGCCAGATATCACAGCGTGATTAGCTCCCAAAAAGACGCGTGAATATGATACAGGAATCTTCTACCTTCCGGGCTTTACGATTTTTTCTACAGACATAGCCTCCTTCGCGAGCATACAACATAAATATCGCTTCTGATGCCGATAAGTACTCCGTGCTCGTCCGGCAAAGGTGTAGAATGGTGCTTACATTACCATCCATTACTTCATTACTGTATATTATCACAAACAATACGCTATTTTGTTTCACGTTCTGATACGACGCGCTCATAGCAACACCTTACAAAACACAAAATCGCGTGGGACCAGTCACACTCGCATACACGACAAAAGACGAACGGTAGCGTCATCTCTTGCCGACCCGCTTCATCAGGTTTTCACGAATCTGCCGGTAGGGGTGCTGCTGTTCGCTGGGCGTAAGTGGAACGCCGGCCGCCCGCCGCAGGGCCGGAGACATCAGCGCCAGGTTGGAGAGGAAGGCCACAGAAGGAGGAGGCCGTCCAGTAGAACACCACCGCCTGACACACGAGCAGACAAAGATCAAGTTTCAAAGAGAACTCAAAATAAAAGGTAAAAGAGAACCAACTGATGGCCGTTGTATCTGGAGATCGTCCTCAACCGCGACAGATATACACGCCTCAACAATCATATCTTTTTGGTCTTCTTTTCGTATGCGTGTTGGTCTGCGCATCTTTAAGGGCGTATAGCTGAGAAACTAGAGGATATTAGGTCTTAAGAAGAGCAGTGCTGTAAGCTGCGCCAAGTGATCTTCAAGACGGCTATTTAAGTTCACAACCCCATACAAATGTGCAACACTCCTGTTAAGAGCGTGAGCCGCTAGCGTCGACGAGCCCAGATCAAATCTATTACCATTGGCAGCACCGCAGCCACGCCAGGCCCTTCAGTAGGTGCGGCTACTCTCTCAGGGATCGGGGGCATTGCTGCCGCCAGAACGACGCAGAACAATTGAAACCGGGAGGCGTCACCGTGGTCAATTCTTCTCTTACGCACAAAAACATGCATATCGCACGCACACAGACACACACGTAAAGAAGCTAAACTCAGGACTAAATTTTGTAACCGCCATGAAAATGCGCCGAGTCGGTTGGGCCTAAGTAATTCGTGCATTTCAAATTAGCGGAAAGGTGCGGCACTACAGACACATGCGCCGAAATTTGAGCTGGTTCAGAACCAGCACGGCAGCTCTCGCGCCACCTGACTCGCTGATAGTTGGGCGCCATCAGCGCACGCCACATCAGCATCAGCCACGGGTGTCACGTACCGCCGGCAGCTGGGCGGCCACGGGTACCACGACGAGTGTGACGCCTCGGATGAGGTTGGTCATGTACCGCTGGAGCCGTGTGCTGCGTTGCAGCCGGCTCAGAACGCCCACCTGGCCGCCATCAGGTCAGGTCAGGTCAAGTCAGGCCAGGTCAGGTCAGGTCAGATTATGCCAGGTCAGATCAGTGCGAATCACATCAGGTCACATCCAACCGATAGAGAACGGAAAGCGATACCGCCGAGCAAAATCCCTTCGTGCTTTCACTGAGGCAGTATACCTGCCCGGTTCACGGTGGCGCGACAGAGGGGTCGCGGCCGATGTCTGCGCACGTCTCTGCAACACAAACAACGCGTCGAGGCTCGCACCTCGATAGCGCAGAGGTTACAGAGGCCGAAGAGCAGCGGCAGCACCAGCGTGGGGTCCGGCGCGGCCAGATTTGGAAACCACAGCACGCCTCCCACCGCCAGCTGCAGCCGTATCAGCTGGCTGGCTGCCGACAGACAGCGGAGCACCGTCAGGCGACAGGCCGCGGCTCGCGTGCCACGCTAGCTTTGGCGGGCGACGTGAGCTCCGGCACGATCTCATCACTGACGAGCTGCAAGAACCATGCCGTTTGCAAATTGCTACTAGCTGCGCCAGGGCGTTGGCGGAGCATGTCCGTGTCGCGAGGTGTGGCGGCAATGCTCCTAGCACAAATACCGCTAACGAGACACTTCCACGACAAGACTTCTACACGACATCGCCTCTAATGCAAGGGCTTCTAAAGCATAAACTTCTACGCGACAGAGTTTATAACGCAAAAACGTATCGGCGACATTACTTGTGTGACAGAACATCAAACGCAAAAATTATACGCGACAATGCTTCTAATACGAGAACTTCCAACGCGTTACCATCTACGCGACAAAACCGCTAACGCGAAGACATCTGCACCACATTACTTCTACGCGACAAATCTTCTAACGTAAAAACTTCTCCGCAGCATTACTTCCAACGTCAAGAGCTTCTAAGGCATGAACTTCTGCACGACGAAGCTTCGAACACAAGAAATTCTTCACGACAAAACTTTTAACGCAAGACATCTACGCGACATCACTAGGGAGACGTGTGCGTGTTTGCCCGCCACCGCCTTGTGTCTGTTGCCCAGGCCCAACGGCGGCGAGTTTTTGCGCGCAATTTTCACACGACCCGGATCCTCCGACGAAGATTGCCGCGTCACGCCAGGACGACATATTTCGCAATGCCAGCGCGCGGCGGGCGAAATACACTCACAAAACACCTATAGGCGCACCCCACAACACACCCAACACAGCGCCCCAAATTTGCCACCGATCGGCGGCAGGCCGGACACGCGTGCACTCCCGGAGCCGCATCTCCACGACAGGTCAGAGCGACACGAAACTGACATGGTCCGATAAGGAAATCAACTGGGATTCGGGTGCTGACAAGTATGAGGTGCCAACCATGAAGTATACGAGGTACGTGCCACGTCCACGCAAGATGGCAGGACGCAATTGGCCGTTTTGGACAGCATTTATGTTTTGAGTCACATCTCAGCACCCAGTGCAGATAGAGGGGTATATTTAGTTTCTCGATGTTAGAAATTACATCGCCTACAATGCCAGTGTGCGGCATGACCTTACAAGACGCACGGTTGCGCTGCAAATTTCCAGACAAGTTGCAAATAAAGGCATTTCAAAAACCGGCGCCGAATACTAGACACTACCGTCGAAACTGTGAAGATTTTGGCATCAATAACTATAGCAGCGTGTTCACGGATCCATTAACATCTCTATCACTCTTTTGTTGACATTCTTTGACACATTTTGCTCGCAATTTAGCTTAGAGTTACGGCATGAATTACGGCTTTTTATGTCGCGAAGACAAGGTACCGTACAACCTCCCGGCTGCCACGGGCGACATTTTTTCGCGGAGTGTCCAGCCTCTGGAGCATATTTCAAAAATATTCTCTAGTGAAACCTCAGGACCAGTTACGTCCAATAAAAACCCTGAACAGTGCCACTGCGGCACCATCAAGACATAGTGAGGATGCAATTTTTTATATTATTTTCGAGTCCAAATTACGCTACCAACGCCTTGGACAGCACTACGCTTCTTTTCTGCAGTCGTGACGGCCGTAATCATGACGGCAGCGGTCTGCTGGGGGGCGGCTGTCGCCAGTTCCTGAATGACATCATTACAAACGAACGTCACTGATTGGCGTAGAGGGCGGCCAGCGCCAGTGATCGAGAAACGCATCAGCTGAAGGTTCAACCGGTGCGTCACTGCAGACACTTTTAGATTCCATATCCCAAAACCAACGTGTGCTTCGAAAAGGGCTCGTGTAATAAACGCCATGGAGTTAGAGTATTTAGAGTAGGAAAAGACCCATAGCATAACGTTTCGGTGAATTCGCGGGATATTGGCTTCATGCTCGCAGATACTTTCGTCAAACAGTGTTTCCGGCTTTCGCACTATTTCTTACGCCAACATTTGGAAAAATTAATAAATTCCAAACATTGCAAAACACATACGTTAGAAAAAGCAAGGCAAACTAAAAGTATGACTTTTATAGTGGTGATAAGGAGTTTTCCACGAATTTCTTCCGCATGAGTGGCTACATAAATCGAAATTATGAGTTATTCGGTAGAACTTCGGGGAAACTGACATTACTGATAAAATCGTATGAGTCTCATCTAGCAATAAGCCAAAAGCACAAAAACGTGCCATACTCCCTTTCAGCAAAATGGCTGGCGGCGCAGGTGCATCTGTGATAGGCCGCCGGCGCCAAGTTGCTTCACAGCCGGCGGGCCGCGGTGGTGACCGACTATATTACGTCGCCATTTTGCTCACCATCCGGGACCTATATTTCGGCAACCACGGATCAGAGCGACCCGGGAGTGGCACGCTTCCATAGGGGATGGTACAGGAATCGCATGGCACTTGGTCTCCCGTCGCACGTGGCACGTGTCTCGCGCCCACTAGATGCAAACATATATTTGGCTGCGTTCGTTTTTCACATGCCGCGCGACACCTCGGCACCTAGTGCCGGTGGAGGGGGAGGGGTGCATCCAATTTGAGAGCGTCCACCAATGCACATGTTCAATTTCAGTGTACCACACCACTTTGTACGACGCACTGTTGCACTGCACATTGTGGGAAAAGTAGGGAATGTCGGCATTACGGGCAGCGCTGCTAGCCACAAAAATAACAAGAGCGCCGGAAATTTGCCCATCGGCGGCCAGCCGGCAAGGCGCGCCATGCATGATCCATGATCGGCAACGACGGGTCGGCGCGGATCCCATCCGGATTGGAAGTGGACCGATTTGACATAGGGTTGATCTGCCGATCGCGAGGCGCACGTGCGACGTGCCACGCCGACACGATCTGAACAGATGGATTTTGTTTTTCGACAAATTGGCACGTTTGCGCCACATCTTGGCACCCAGGATACGAATCGACTCGGAGTGGCGTGCTTACATAGGGATTCAAACGGGCAATCACGTGGTGCAATGAGATAGGTCGCACGTGCCACATGTCACGTGCGTACAAGCCAGCAAGATGGACCTTGCTATTCCCGACGGCTTGTCACGTTTTGCGCCACATCTCGTCATCCAGGGCAGCCAGAGACGTGAATTTAACTGCAAAACATGCATTAATCAAATGTCTGCGCTTTAAAGGACAGCGAAGCAAGCGTACTAACGACTGTCACTTTTCATGCAAGAGATTTTTATGCAAACTTTTTCGCGACAAATCTTTTAACGCAAAATTATACATGAAATTGCTTCCACGCGACAAAAGGTCAAACGCAAAGCCATACGCGCTAAATTACCTCTTGTGCAAGAGCTTCTAACGCATGAAATTTCAAACGATTTAATTCCAAAGGTTCTGTGCAACATTGCTCCTATAGAACATGACCTTTAACATATAACTCTATGCGGCATTACTTCGAATTCAAAATGACATAACCCATACAAATCTACACGCTAGATTCCCTAATGCAGGAAAGTTCAAGCGACACTGCTTCTCACAAGGAATATCACCATGACTCTTCCACAATTACAACAACCCCAGAGGGGAGGTATTATGATGAAAATACGTCACGTTGGTGTGTACCTATGAAGATGAGCATACCTCTAGATCACACATATCTGCGTAAGTCCCAATGCACATCTGAGCACGTGCAGTGCCAGCAATTAATTGTTGTGTTGCCGTCTTCAAAGTTTGAAAGCATTAACTGCTTGGATTATTCTGCGCATTCTAAAACACATCGCTTGAAATACTGGCAGATATTCTGTCAGATGGTGCAGGCGGCATATGACAGTACGTCGCACGAGCGGCTTACTCCGGAGGTATCATCCCAGCCAGCGGCAGATTCAAGAGGGCTCTGGGGCTGAAGCTCCGTTCGTGGATCGGGGATTCCTCGGCCTGCTCTTCAGGCCCGGCGGGCTGGAAGGACCGACCGGGGTTTTGGGGCCTCTGAGTAGTATGATGGCTGTCTGTCGTCCAGGGGTTGCGGAATCGAGAAGGTGACCCCGATGCTTTCAGGGTTCCGGTGCTGGGCAGCTAGCCGCACCGACAAGGGCCAGTACCAAGACCCAGGGACATCAGAGAACCCCCTCCGGCGCCGCTCAGGGGCCTCTGACTCATTGAGGGTCCCTCTATCGGCCAAGGAGCCTCGGCAATGAACAGGAAACTGAAAGGAGTATCTGTTCAGCTGGTGTGGATCCTCCATCCTTAATAGGATATCCACAGTATTGCACAGGGCTCCGTAGATCCACGACATTAAACAGGGGCTCTGTGCCGGCCAAGACTCCCACCAGCCGAACAGGGGCAGCGTCACGGCCTTTTTAAATTAGCCAAAGGGTAACTTGGGTCCTGTCTTCGCCACTTCTTCAAGCCTTGGTCTTAAGCCTTGCGCCTTGAGTCACTAGCAGAATCCGTGAGACAATGAGAGACCCTCTGGTCAGGGTCCCCGCACTCAACAGCGTCCCCTTTCACTCAGATAGCCTTCTCCGGGGTAACCGGTGGCTGTCTCCTGTCCCCCCCCCCCCCCCCCCCCCCCCCCCCAACACACCCTCCAAACTTTGAGAAGTGGACCAAATCCGCTGAGAACCCCGTTAGTTAGTGTATTTTGTGGCGCAACCCGCCTGTCACATGTCAGTCATCTGTAGCACTCTGTAGCATGCTGCACAGGATATCCCACTCCCCCCATTGCAGACATCATTTTTCATTGCTCAGGCCCCTCCCCACTCATTCTGCGAGACCACGCCCCCGCCTTGAGACAATGAGAGGGCTACTCTGTTGGTCAGCGGCACCAGGCACCAAACAAATCGGTCCCATTGGGTACCGATCAGGGCCGTGCAGGCCAGCCGGAGTCTACTGGCCATACTCGGACAGGTCCAGGGACTCAGAATGTTAGTCAGAGGAGTCAGTTACTGGTTCTGCCCTACTACACTGGCAGCGCTACCAATCACATGTCCCTGGTAGTGGCAGTGAGCAGAGAGCCCCAGTACGGGAGACGGGGGTCCCAGGCCTTACAGAGGCGGCGAGGAAGCTCTACCGGCGGGAAAGCTAAAGCTTCGGAATTCGGAACACATACCCCGCACCAGCAATGGAAGCCCATTGAAGTTGACGGCATTAAAAGCTCTTACGTCAGAAGGTTTGCCGCGTAACAATTTATGCGTCAGAAGTGTTTGCATTACAAGTGACGTCGTATAGAAGACTGCATCATAAGTTGCCTTGCCTCTAAGTTTTGGCATTAGATGTTTTATCGCGTAGAAGTTTTTGGTTAAAGGTTTTATGGGATTTAAGTTTAAGTATGGTCTTGCATTTCCAGTAGCATCGCGTAGAGATGGTTATGTAGGAATCTTTGCCGCGTAGAAATAATGTAACGAAGGAGTATTTGCGGCGGGAGTCACTTCATGGAAGTTTATTCGTCCGCAGTAACTACGTTACAAGCTCTGCCATGAAACCGTGTCACAGTGCTCACCACACGGCATGCGGGCTGAGCCAGGTAACCGGTGGGCAGGGGTCTGCAGGAGAGGTCACAGATACAGACCTTACCCCCGCCGTCCGCGGAGCCTGACCCGCATCCCCCGCCAGTGGTCAGAGGGTGGACGGGAGAGGGCCCCTCCCCACCGCGCCGCGGGGCCTGACCTGCGTCTCCGACCGGCAGACCCCAGCAGAGGTTGCGCAAAGCCATCGAGAGCCCGATCCAGAATGGAAACTGGAACCAGAGCACGAGTCCCGCCTTGACCGGGTGGCAGTTGTGTTTGGCCGTCAGCTCCGACATCTGACGCTTCACCTGTAGCGCACAGAAGGGGGGGGGGGGGGATGTACGGCTACTGACATCTGACGCTTCACCTGCGGCGCACGGAGGGGTTATGTACGGCTACTGACGACCGGCAGCGTGTAGACAAACGTTTCAAAGCAGGTGAGACACAAATGGTGTAATGCAAGGGAACTGATTTTTCAGAGGCGCAGTTTATCCACGGCTGCTCGCCCTCCCCCGCCAACCCCACCAATAAATCGTCCTAAGTTTCTATTTTAATTTGAGTCCTAACTCATTATCGTGTAAATGCCGGACATCTTTCTGCCACAGTTTACTGTTGCTTGCTGTCATATCATCGAAAAAGTTGCGATGAGCAGGCCTTACCGATTGGGTAAAACCCATCCAAGGCGACGTTATCGAGTTCTGTTTTTTTTTCCACTGGCCAATGGTGAGTGATCGGCAACCGATGGGACACCCGACTGCTCTGATCACGGTTACCAGCTGATATCACCCACCGCCTTGTTAAAGACGCGCCTGGACCGCTTCTCGTTCCACTGGTACTTCTGCACGGCCACGGCCATCTCCTTCTTGATGTCGACCACCACCGCATCCATCTCGGGCCGCAGGTTCTCAAACTTGGCCAAGATGTAGTGCTGAGGACAGAGCGCGGGCGGCTGAGTGCTGGGTACAAGCAACTGAGGATAGAATGCATGTGTGTGAGAACAAAGGACAGACATCAGAGGACATGCAGTTGTGACACAGTGCAGGCTACTTCAGTGTTGACTCGCCGTTCAAAATGCGTCGTGGTAGCGAGCATTTTTGGGACCTCTATGCCTACTTTCCTTTATCCAGTCAAGCAGGAAACGCGATGTTTTCCAGGAGCCCACGTGAATGTGTGGATATGATCCCCCACAGCCCATGTTGGCGCTGTCGTCCTCCAAGTAGGTGAAACAGTTGCAATGCGAGCTGCCGCATATGAAATACCGTCTTCGGTAGCAGTAATGCTACACTCCCCACGGCTCACACCCCGTGGTCATTGCCCCGTACGGCAGTGACACCTGTCCACAACTGTCCACACCTAATACAGCTCGTGCGGCAGTCACACCCGTCCACACCTGTCCACACCTGGTACAGCCCGAGCGGCAGCGTCACCAGACCGCGGGCCGCCACGGTGGTGACCAGCACAGTGCCCCACCACGGCAGGCCACTGACATCATGCAGCGACACGAGCGCCTCCTGCGCGGCCACCACCGGTCGGGAAGCCCCCATGCTCTGCAGCAGCTCGGCCGGGCCGGCCAGCGCCGCTGACAGTGACAGGTGTCGCCCGCCAGAGGGCAGGCCGGGACGCGGCCGGGGGTCGGCGGCAGCCAGTAGACGCAGTGTTACAGGCAGCTGGCATGGTGTGCCTGCCCAGGGCAGCCGCAAGCAGCTGAGGCTCATCTGTGGGTAGATGTGACAATAGGCAGCATTACAAAAATGTTACATGGGGGTTGGGATGGCATGGTCAGCTGCAAAGAGTTAAGGAAATTTTTGCAGGTGATCATAGCCAAGTAAACAATATTGTTTGATTGCATCAAACTCAGCTCTTGGATCAGTGTTTCTTATTTAAGTAAGCTGAGGGTGTGTAATGTTAGAGCCTCCAACTGTTGTTCCTCACCAATACTGCTGCATGATGTGGTACTCACAGCTGTTTCACATCAGACCCTGCTACATTCAGCTGACATCTAGCCTACAGAGGTTCACTAGCCTATATGGTTCATACATCGATGCTCTGAACTATGTGTATGTTTGCATGCACTAACATGTGTTGAAAAACTTTTTAGTTTACTCAGCATGATTCCTTAACATTTCAAAAACAGTGACCACATTGGCCTAGGTTCCAGTGAAGACTGCAGAGGACAGTCCACACGTAACATTGGAAATTTAGGAGATAAATGGTTCCAGCAGTCTGCATACTGTTCCTGCATCCAACAAAAGAAACACAACATAATTGTGAGCATGGTGTGCAATACGGTGTTTCCGCAACATTTAGGCAAGTGTCCTGTAAGCATTCTGCCATGCTTATTACCATACAAGGTTCAAGCACTAGCTATAACCACATGCCCATCAAATTCATGCACGTGCAGTAGGGGAAAAGCTCGAGGCAAATTTGTTGAATTGTCCAAGAACCAACTTTATCCCTCTCCCCAAACCACAATCTCCGTTTCGTTCACCTGGTCGGTTACTCAACTGGGTCAGGCTAGCTCACTGTCTCATTCTTTCCTTTTTCAAGTCATTATACACGTTCCCAAGTACAAAAGTAGGGCAGGTCTAAACTTACCGCGTGCGGAATGGAAAAATTTCGCGAACTTCCGGCGACCTACCCATTACATAAAACCTGCGATGCACCTTGTACCGGCAGCGTCACTTTCGGACCAATCGCGCCAAGCACCCATCATAGAACTATGCTACTAAATTGTCTTATTGACCCGACAAGACCAGGACTCGGTTGTCTAGACTCAAACGCTACCTATATACCACGCCGTAATACCTCATTGTCAGCATGGGTATGCGGAAAATGTTGGTAACTGATTGGTAAAGAAAGACCTTGTTTATCAATAGCATTTCCAATCTCACATCATACCGAAGGAGTTTTTTTTTTAAATTTACTGCCCGTCGCTCGGCGTCCACTTCCATTCAAACGTGCACCAACCACAAAAACGCCATACGCGCGATGGAACTTCATTCAACTGCTGGCGTGTCTTAGAATTTGCCAGCTGAATAGCAGTGCCCCTGGCTGGTCACGCGCGTGAGTCATTTTGCCATGGGTTTGTCCTGCGTCCGTGATCAGCTGCAAGCTACCAGCAGGCAGCGCGGCACGGATTCCAGCGGTGATGCCCGTCGACAAGAGGAACCCAGGGGACTGAGCACGACCGGAGGACCGCCGTTCAGGCCGACACCCGACACAGCCCCGAGGAAGGAGCCGACTTCACAGCGTGTCCGCTTGCCTGGGACAGCCGTCTGATCTGCAGAAGATCGATCGCATATTTGCATTGCGTGGTTACAACGCATATTTACACACACACAGCCAAGCTAGCTGACGACAGAACCTGCGTCGCCACGCCAGTGAACCGCCTGGGGCGGTGTGGGGTCACGGATCACGGGTCACGGCATCTCGCCTCCAGATCTGACACCGCGGCAACCAGGCTCCGCACACAGGCGACATATCACCATCTTCCCTACGGACCCACCAGACGAAGCAGCGCCGCAACAGCAACAGCCAACAGCGTTGCCACACATGGCAGGGCATCACCGGCAACGGACACTCCAACACACAGCCTGTGCCACCTGCCGGGTCACCTAATCCACGCCCCATTAGCTCACAACGGACATTGTAAAGCTGCCAGCCTACAATTCCGGGCGTTTTTGACTGGTGAACATTTGTTAAGTGAGGATACGGCGGAACGAGATGCAATCAAACGCCAATTGTTAGAAATTCACGGCTTGGACAGAACTGAGCGGAACAGAACTGACCTCCGTGCACTAGCTGAGAGTCAATCGAACGCCTGGTGATCCCATCCTGACTCGAGTCTACTCGACCACCGGCACCATCACGCCGTGTGCCGTCACAGGAAAAACGATCCTCAGGTACTATGACATCACAGCTGGGAGCAGGTCAAGACCTGACACAGAGCACAGCGCAGGGCGGCGATCCCAGTGCTCTTGGCGGGTGCGTGGTACCTGGTGTGGTCTCCGACACACAAACCCCGATCATTAGCGCCGCGAACAGCGGTCAGCCAGGCCCCGACGTCCACACACAAGGCTGCGCGGTCTGACAGGCCACCCGGCCTCGGTCAGCGCCGCCGTAGCGAACGCGTCCTCGTCCCCCGCCAGCCTCGCACAGGCTCTGACAGGTGACCACTGCTCAGCCGGTAGCCTCGCACAGGCTCTGACAGGTGACCAAGGCTCAGCCGGTGGTCTCGCACGGGCTCTGACAGGTGACCATGGCTCAGCCAGTGGTCTCGTACAGGCTCTGTCAGGTGACCACGGCTCAGCCAGTGGTCTCGTAGAGGCTCTGACAGGTGACCTGGGCTCAGCAGGCGTCGTGTACCCGCCGCCGATGTCGCTCCAGGAGCCACTTGAACTTGAAGGCGCGCGGGCAGACGTCGCAGGCGAAGTCGCACGCCGCGCTGTGTCGGAACATCCGGTGCTTCCTCAGGTCACTGTTGGCTGAAAACCGCTGGCCGCAATCCTGCCGGGCAGCGGGGCGGTGTGACGTCAGAGCGGCTGTCGTGACGTCAGATTAGTCAGGCTTCCGTCAGGTCTCTACTCAGGTTTGACAGGTTTTCCACGCATACAGGTGGGATTCTCAATTCGCTGTAAATGAAGGACAAGCGGAACTGGGAGCCTTAGACTCGCCAGCCTCTCTTGGTCCCCTGCTCGCTCTTGCCGGCGGTAGTGCAAACCACGTTTCGATTACCCAAAGATGTACTCTGATCTGCTCTACTGAGAATCCGAAAGCTTGACGTTCCTACGTCTGATTCACCTATTCCCGTTCTTTCTTTTTTTACTTCTGTTTTGGTGTCTGAATGTTGCTACATAAACATGTGTCCCGAGCTGCCTTCTGGAATATGTCAATCGTCTCCAATTCCCCCCCCCCCCCCCCCCACATACACACTGAGGGCGTGCCCCGGCGACCCCCGCCGCTCCGCCTCCGCCACAGCCGTCACACCTGGCAGCAGAAGCGCGGCTCCTGGTGCGTGCTGATGTGCAAGCGCAGGCTGGAGCGGTAGAGGAAGCGCTTCTCGCAGTGCGGACACGGCTGCAGCTTCAGAGGGTGCTCCTGTGCCAGCAGACGGACAGGTGAGGCGTCAGAGACAGGTGAGGCGTCAGACAGGTGAGGCGTCAGGACAGGTGAGGCGTCAGACAGGTGAGGCGTCAGAGACAGGTCAGGCGTCAGACAGGTGAGGCGTCAGAGACAGGTCAGGCGTCAGACAGGTGAAGCGTCAGAGACAGGTCAGGCATTAGAGACCGGTCAGGCATCAGAGACAGTGCGGACACGGCTGTAGCTTCAGAGGGTGCTCCTGCACCAGCAGACGGGCAGGTCAGGCGTCAGAGACCGGTCAGGCGTCAGACAGGTGAAGCGTCAGAGACCGGTCAGGCGTCAGAGACAGGTCAGGCGTTAAAGACCGGTCAGGCGTTAAAGACCGGTCAGGCGTTAGAGACCGTGGCGTCCGGCCCACGGACCGCAGCTGCAGGACCGTACCGCCGATCTCAAGTCTCGACAAAAGTCAGGCACCGGTGAAAGCGATGTCGAATGACAAGTCATGACAGTTGCGCAGGTCTGGCGAAACGAACAGTTCTGGGTGTCAGACAAAACATTACGCACATTAGGCCATTTAAACAATCGTTAACTCTCAGCCGGTTGCCGCATAGAACGATAAAACTCTAGGCGAGTTGCCAAGCTCAGATCCACGACCAAGAGCAGATGGCCATTCGGAACAACGCATCAAATGAGCCAGGCCCCAGTCTCGGCAAATCACGAACTGGGATCCGCCAGGTCGTGACACATTGCCCGCAACACCAAGCACAAGGTCTTGCGTGGCTACACCTGAATATCTACCTAGTTACACACATCCGCAACTACCAGACAATGACTGATGCATGTCTCAGCCATGCCCTGATACGCCAACATTCCCAGCGTCCCCCTGCCCGCCGTGCCCCTGGTACGCTCCCACAAGCGACATACCCTCGTGCTGGCCACACTCCGCGGTCGCCCCCTCCCCCTTGCTCCGTCCCACTGACCGAGTTGCAGTGCTGATGCAGGGCGATGCTGGAGGCGAAGGAGTCAGTACAGAAGAGGCAGCTGAAGCGGTTGCCGGACGCCAGCGATATGGCCTCCTGCTGCTTCCTCTTCTTCCGGAGCTGTTTGACGTCTGCCAACGACAGGTCAGACGCTGGCGTCACAGGGCAAGGTCAGGTCGCAGCAGCTGGACGTGCGCGCACGGCCGGACACGCATTCCAGATCGACACAACGAGACACCAACACTTCGGAATTCGATTCCCCGCGGTGGCCGTCCTTCCTGCCGGGGCGAGAGGCAGGCGACGTCATACAGTCTCCCCGCGGTGGCCGTCCTTCCTGCCGGGGCGAGAGGCAGGCGACGTCATACAGTCTCCCCGCGGTGGCCGTCCTTCCTGCCGGGGCGAGAGGCAGGCGACGTCATACAGTCTCCCCGCGGTGGCCGCCCTTCCTGCCGGGGCGAGGGGCAGGCGACGTCATACAGTCTCCCCGCGGTGGCCGCCCTTCCTGCCGGGGCGAGGGGCAGGCGACGTCATACAGTCCTCCCCGCGGTGGCCCTCCTTCCTGCCCGGGCGAGAGGTCAGCAGTACAGTCTCAGCAGCCGAATGAATCGGGCGCGCTCGGTGACACACCCCAGATCGACAGACCAATGGTGACACCCGCCTCAGCCTGGCATCGATAGAGTTGTTCGTCACAGATCGGAGCCAACGAGATATGGTCCCGCTACACACTAACCCCGACGCCACGCAAAGCGACTCTGATCCACGGACAGGGCACACACGTCCAGCGTCTACACGCAGACGGAGGCGCAGCGTCTGCATCAGCTACATGCAGCGACAGAGGAATGTCCCAGGCCAGGACAGCAAAACATCCGGCACAGCTGGACAGAACGACACACGCACCAGCAGGCCGGCCGAGGCCAGCCCTGATGCTGGGAGCTGCCCTCCTCAGCGGTGGCCTCCCCACAACCAGCGCGATCGCTCACCTGGAACGGCGGCGCCGGCCTGGGGCCGATCGCGGCGCCGGCCGGGTCGGGGCTCGGCCTTCTGCGGATCGGCGGCGGCAGGCGACTCCTCCTGCCGTCACACACACACACACACGCGGGATTGCTGTGAGCTGGGCAGGGTTACGCCGCGGACCGGGAACACCGAGGGCGGGGGGGGGGGGGGGGGTGAGCACCAGAGCCGGCCGTAGGGACAGGCGAGCACGTCTGGTGCTCCGGAGCCGCTGCACTCTGCCGTGGCCGGGGCCAGCACCGCCCACCCTCCGACCGACACACCCGTCCAGGACGGACGCCGCGGGACACTTCGGCAGCCGGGACTATCCGCGCACCTCTGCCGGCGCTGCACGCCAACCACCATTCTCAGTGACTGGGGCTGTCCCCATGAGCATCGGGAGCCGACCCAATTGTTCCCTCCGGGCCAGAAGCCGCTGGTGACCACAGACGGACCGCAGGGAGAGACTCGACTCCCATCCTCAGCCCCCTCCCCTCCTCCCCCCCCCCCCCCAAGCGCAGGCGGTCCGGAGGCGCCCCACCTCATGCGGCAACTCCAGCTCCTGCGGCGCCGGCCCGGTCATGTCGGCCCAGTACAGCGTGCCGGGCTCAGACAGCGCCTCACCGGCCGCCGGCTCCTGCCGAGCACAGGCCACACCAGTCAGCACTCACAGCTGGTGAGGGCCACACGCGGTAACAGCTGGTGAGGGCCACACCAGTCAGCGGTCACAGCTGGTGAGGGCCACACCAGTCAGCGCTCATAGCTGGTGAGGGCAACACGCGGTAACAGCTGGTGAGGGCCACACCAGTCAGCGGTCACAGCTGGTGAGGGCCACACCAGTCAGCGCTCACAGCTGGTGAGGGCCACACGCGGTAACAGCTGGTGAGGGCCACACCAGTCAGCGGTCACAGCTGGTGAGGGCCACACCAGTCAGCGCTCACAGCTGGTTGAGGGCCACACGCGGTAACAGCTGGTGAGGGTCACACCAGTCAGTGGAACAGCTGATGAAGGTCACATCAGTCAGTGGAACAGCTGGTGGGGGTCACATCAGTCAGCAGTCACAGCTGGTGAGGGCCACATGCAGTAACAGCTGGTGAGGGTCACAATGGTGACACGCACCAGTGTGAAGAATCCATTCAGATAACCAGATCTGATGACTGGATTCGGAGTAGGAGAAATATCGGAGTGAAGTGGTGTCAACATACGGAAGCATCGCAAGAGCTATTGAGACAGCACTAGTGCAAACCAACATTGTATAAGCTAATAGACGACTACTGCACGATGTACCACACCCACACGACATGGACCCAGTACACCACACCAAGCACCACTGACCTGGTACACCACCAGCCTGCCGCCGTCCAGCTGGGCGGGCTGCACCACTATGGTCGAGCTGTTGGTGTCGCCATCCCCTGGCGGCAGACAGCGTAACGATGAGAACGGTGAGACGGAGCGGGAGACGGCGAGGCCTCGGCGACCAGGGCAGTGAAGTGACAGGTGAGATGGTGAGAAGGAGAGGTAAGACGGTGAGAAGGAGGGGTGATATGGTGAGATGGAGGGGTGAGATGGTGGAAGGAGAGGTGAGATGGTTTGAAGGAGAGGTGTGATGGTGAAAGGATAGGTGAGATGGTGAGGAGAAGTGAGGTGAGGAAGAGGTGAGATGGTGAAAGGATATAGGCGAGATGGTGAGATGTGAGATGGTGAGGCGAGACGAGACAGTGAGAACGAGACGTGAGATGGTGGGAAGGAGGGTTGAGATGGTGAAAAGGTGAGGTGAGGACAGGTGAGATGGTGAGGAGAGGTGAGACAGCGTGACTAGTGAGAGGCCAAACTGAGAGGTTAGACGGTCAGACGGAGCGGAGAAAGGGCGAGTCGTAGCAGTGGGAAGGGAGTCCGGGCGGGTCAGGGTCGGCCACTTCCATGCAAAATGACTGTTGTTTAACCTGATATTTATCTTGGTGTCATTCACCAACACATTTAGCCACTAACTTCATCAGTTTCCACCCTCGGCCGGAAAACGGGCCGAGTTTCACGGCACACCGTCAGTCATGCCAACACTCAGATCCGCCACTGGCCATTGTGAGGCGAGGCATTATTCATACTCGGAGACGGTTGTTTCGTGCCATCGTTAACGCAGACACGCCAGCCAGCGATTCGATCTCACACGGACCCGCTTTAGCCACGAGTGGATGTCACGTGTTACCTCAGGTGATGCACCACATCGCCCGTAACAAAGCAACGCGGCGGGTGTAATGACGTGAAGCGACACCCATCCGCCTGTACCCGGTTACCTATGGTGAGGTATGCCACCGGCGCGCCGTCGAGGAGCGGCGTGGCATCGGCGGCCGGCGATGGTCCTGTCTCGGCAGCCGGCACCGGCGCCGGCGTGGCCTCGCCCGCGGTGTCCCCAGCCGGCGCCGGCTCCTCGCCCGCGACGCGGCCCGGCACCGCCAGCGCGCACGGCATCTTGAACTTCAGCTTCACCTGGCCGCCGATAGGTGACAGCAGCCGTGAGCAGGAGCGGCGAGCTGACTGGGGCGGGCTGCGGCAGCTCTGTGCAAGCCTCTGTGTTTCGGATGATTGACGACGATGGTGTAAAAAATCGTACTGTCGATTCAAGTAATGCATTTCAATTATCCATTCCACTACCTTAATCTATAGTTTATCTACCCATGTGGGCATCTGCAGTGCCGCACCCTTCCGCACATTCCTTGATGACGTTCTTTGATGCCTTCAGACGCCGCACATCGTTTTGACCACCGCCTTTGACGCTCTACTTACCTCGTTTTCGATGGCAGTGAGCTTGGTCTCGTACTCGTCTGCCTGGTTGACAAGAGAGACGCAGGCGACGCAAATCTCCGAAGAGGAAGGCTCGGAGACGTCCTGAAAGGCCGGGACCCCGTCAGATGGAAACCACCTGTCAGCCTGCCACGCACCACTGGCGCTACAAAGTTCGATCCACCAAGGTCGACCAAAAAAGCTAACCGCCCACACCGCGGGCTGCCATCCCGTTACAGAGCACTTGCACAGGACTGCCATCCCATCACAGAGCGCTGGTACAGGCCACGTACGCAGGCGTCCCTCAGCCGCCGTCACCTCACCTCCAGGAATGGCTGCTGCACCAGCTTGGCCAGCTTGGAGGAGAGCAGGGTGCGCGAGAACTTGGTGCGCGTGCGGAAGATGTTGAGCCGCACCACTAGCGGGTGTTTGCAGACCAGACATGTACCGAGCGGACCGAGCTCGGCGTCTGTCTGCACCTCCGGAGCCGGAGCCGGAGCCGGAGCCGGAGCCGGAGCCGGAACCGGAGCCGGAGCCGGAGCCGGAGCCGGAGCTGGAGACGAAGCCGGAGCTGGCGCTGGAGACGGAGCTAGAGCCGGACCCGGAGACGGCGCCGGAGCTGGCGCCGGGACCGGGGCCGGAGCCGGGCCCGCAGTCGCAGCGAAAACTGGAGCCTCAGCCGCAGCAGGAGCTGCAGCCAGAGCCGGAGCCGGAGCCGGAGCCGGAGCCGATGTCGTTGCCGCAGCCGGAGCCGGAGCCGGAGCCTGGACCTGAGCCGGTTGCACGCCAGCTCACGGTCAGACACTCGTGGGACGGGGAGGCGGGCAGGGGAGCTCAGAGTACACGGGGTTTAGAAACAATCACTGGCGAGCAAAACGTGTACACAAGGGCAGCGGCACTGGTACGGGAAACAACGCCACGGGTCAAACACAGTTAAGGCGGGTGAGCGCTGGAGAACATGCACATTGCTGGCGCGTTCGCGGGTAAAAAAATTGTCCACGTTCCACGGACCCCTATGCCAACATGAATGGACACATGAATGTCCGCAGTGACCTGGTCATATTGCCATGCCACGGGTGCTCCAGGTGCTAACAGTTGCTAGGTGCTAACAGGTGCTAACAGTTGTATCACGCATCTCACCTCCAAGTTCTCCAGAACCACCACCCGGTCACTGACCGTGTCTGGTGTGCTGCCGCCGCTGGAGCGTCCCTTTCCTGCCGCCGCTGCCACCGGGAGCCTCCGCTCCTCGCCGCCTCCGCCGCCCCGCAGGCGCGTAACCCGCTTGCGGTGCATGGCGCTAGCGGCGTGTCGGCGCAGGTGCGCCAGTTTGGCCGTGACCTCGCGGCAGCAGCAGCGGCAGAAGGGGCGCGCCGCGTCCCACGGCGAGCGGCGCAGCCACGGCCGCAGCTCGGCCAGCGCCTCCCAAGCAGGCTGGTACGCTGGCGGGCGGCCGCGCGCCCGCCACACCGCCGCCTCCCAGGTGCGCGCCTGCGCCGCGCTGGCCGCGCGCGCTTTCTCGTCCCCGTCCTCGTCCTCGTCCTCGCCCTCGTCCTCGTGCCCCACCTCCGGCTCGCTGGGCCGCTCAACTGTCGGCTTCCACTCGCTGCCGTCGCTGTCCTCCGGGCACGGGACGCGGTCCACATCTAAAACCAAACACCGGGCCTGGCGCTGGCCTCCGCACCAGCCCGGCTCTGCGTTCTCACTCTGAGCGCTGTCCGTGACCAAGCCCCGGACGCGGCTCCCGCCCTCCACCCCAACACGCGCGCCGTGCTCACTCCCAACACTGGCGGCCCCTGCCTGCACGACAAAGGCACTGACGTCCCGGACATGCTCAATGTCCTCTCCGTCTCCGTCAGTGTCCGTGCACGTCACGGCTGTCCGTGCCGCACGTCTGCCCACAGACCGTGCCGAACGGCGGAGCGACGCGCCACGCCCCACGGGGGCAGATGTGCCCCCCTCTTCCGTCACATCATCCCCAACACCATCACTGTCCTCCCCCAAGACGTGGTCTATGTCCTCCTCACTGCCACCATCCTCCTGCTCCTCCGACTCGGCGTCCAACCCATGCGTGCCCACCAAAGGCGCATTCCGCACATGCCGCTTGGTGGCCGCGTGCCGGCGCACGTGCGCCAGTTTTGGCGTGATGTGGCGTCGGCAGAGGCGGCAGAAGGCTCGGTGTGGGTCGCCGGGCGCGCAGCGCAGCCAGCCGCGCAGTTCAGGTCGCTCCTCCCAGCGCGCGTCGTAGATCAGCCTTCGCGTCGACGGAGACGGCGGCTTCTCCGACTCCGACTCGGACTCAGCGGGCAGCCGCGGCTGCAGCACCGGCGCGAACTCGCCGCCCGAGTCGCAGTCGGAGTCGGAGTGGGGCGAGGGTGCGGCGCGCTTGCGGGCCCAGCTGACGCAGCGCAGGTGACGCGCGCACGCCCCGTGCCGCTGCACGTGTGTCAGCTTGGCCGTCATCTCCTTGTAGCAGAAGAGGCAGAACGCCTTGCTGGGGTCGGTGGTCGAGCGGCGCAGCCACAGCTTGAAGGCAGGGTCTCGCGCCCAGCCCTCGACCTGCGCTCCACTGCCGGCGGCGGCCCTCCTCT